AAATAATTTTGTAATAATTTATTATGCGATTTTATAATTTTTTGTTTACTTGATAAGATTGAATAAACAATTGGGGCTATTTTAATAGTTTTATAACTTATGGGCTTTTTATGTTTATGAGAAAATATACAACACAAAAATTCCATATTGCATGTCCAAACAAACCTTCAATTTCATCTCATGATTCCATAGCATGATATCATATCGCATGGCCAAACGGACCCTAAGTTATAATGTTTGCAATCTTTTCAACCTTATAATTAACAGGCTTTGTTCGTTTTCACTCTAACTTTTAATTATTTATAAGCAAATTCATCAAGTATATATTTTTCTTACAATCATTTGTTACCTACCTCCTAAAAGATTTGTATTATTTAAATCTAGTTCAATATTCAAGGGATACCTAATTCTTGATTCAAGGGTGAGTTATATCTTTTATAGATGGTCATGATTTTTTCTGCATTTTCTTGTCCATCTTTTCAGACACAGACATTAGATTTTAGTTTTATGTTGGTTTCGAAGTTGCATTTTCAGTTTGACTATTTAGAGTTTTGTTATGATGATTTTGAATTCTTAGGGGTTGTTTTTTCGCATTAAACGTTTTTGGACTATTGAATCGAGTTTAAGGGAACTCAATTCTTTAGTTGACTAATTTATTTTCATTATTTTTATATGATGAACTTCTCTTATTTATGGTGTTGGGTTGATTTGAATTAGTAGTTGATTCTCTCACAAGGTGATTTAGAGTGGGTGTTACTCACAACGATTGGAATCGTAACGATTGATGGATCCTATTCTAGTTAGCTAAAAGCCATCAAAATTAATAATCATAATCCTTGAATGATTTGAATCGGATGACAAAGTAAAATTATAAAAAAACTATATGATATGAATAAGAATATAAATATTTAATTTTAAAATATGAAGATGTATTTAAAAATCGAATCATAATAAGTTCATTAAGTGATAAAGCTAAACTTGGAGAAAATTAACAAAATATTTTATTTAAAAAAAAAAAATGTTTGCTATATATGAAAGTTGGTCAACATAAAAATCATATTTGTATGTTATAGTTATAGTTTGCATAATTGCGCTCCATAACAAATTTTATGTTTGCTATGGAGCTTTTGATTTGTATAATTTGCTAGATACATCCAATTTTATACAAATTGTTCAGTTTTGTATAAATTCATTTATATATACATTGTAATTTGTATAATAAGATCTGTATTTGTATATTATAAGTGTATAGGACAAAAATATATGTATTTATATTTGTATATACACTTTTATCTCGTTTTATACAAACACAAATATATTTTATACCGAAATGTATAAAATGACTAATTGTATACCGAAAATGGCTAATTGTATACCGAATCAGATGGCAGAAAATGGGATGTTTGCTGCGAATTACAAATAAAAATAAACTATGACTATAAGATTTAATTTGAATTAATAGTTTGCTATTTCATACAATTTTTTCTTTTATGTTTGCTATATGTGAAAGTTGCTCCTATTAATTTTATTATTATTATAATTTATATATAGACACACGACTTTATTATTTTCTACGGTCCATTTATTATCACATCAATAATCAAATGGTCAATAAAAAAAGTACACAACAAAACAACCCTTCCCATGCATTTCATGTGATCCGTTTTATTTTATTATTATAAGTAAGCAACAATCATTGCAATCTTTTCATGACCTTATAATATGCTTTATATTATTTGTTTTTCACTGTGATTTTTAATCATTTAAGAACCAATTCATTAATTATATATTTTTCTTCCAATCATTTACGAATCAAGTAGCTAGAGCCAAAAGAAATCAACGGAGCTCGCCAACTAGATCTACTAAATCGACCTCTAGTCATATGTCTTATTATTTAAGATCTCAACACTTGTCATACAAAGTATGCCAGTTCAAATTCAGAATTTTGATTTATTTTTATAAAAAAATAATGGCGTGGTGGAATTATAATTGGCCACGTGTAAAAAATGGTTTTGCAAAACCACTGTTAAAAAATAATGGCATGAATGAGCCTTTTCTTAAACGGTAATGGCATAGATGAGCCAAACGTTTAACAGATGACATAGATGAGTTTTTTCTCAAAGTTTGATGACATATTTGAGTTTTTTCCCGGATAATAATAATTATAAATCCAGATGAGAGAATGAAAAATCAAGTCCACATAATTCACTATGTCCTTAAGGAAATTATTTTCCTCAAGTATCTGAGGTTATGGAATATATATATTTAGTTACTACCATTGTTATTCTTAATTTATTTTTTTGCACTAATGATTCTTAATTCCTACCTCATTGTGATTTGACTAATTGTAGTATAGTTAGTAATTGTGTTATTAGTAGTTTTCCTAAAATATTGTTATGATTTTATGATAATGTATTGTCTAGTTCATTATAAAAATAGGGTAAAGAGCCTGATATATCCTTCAACTTGACAATTTAAAGTTAACCCAAACAAAAATCCAATATCTCACACTTCGCTTATGATGTGCTAGGCCCAAAAACAATATGATGTCGATAACACAAACAATTCATACAAGGAAATAGTTCGTGCGACCTCCGAGCATCAAGAGCTATACATGGAGAGAGGCGAGCGAGAGAGTCAGATACATGTGAATCCACTAGGATACATTGTATCTAGAACAAATTACACCTAATTTTGATCCCATGTATCCGAGATTCATGTATCTGGACACGCCAGATACATGTATCAGAAGTCCAAATTTTGGCAAGTTTCTTAATAATGAAAAGTGAAGGGAAGGGAGGTAGTTAGGTACTAAACTAGTGAAGTTTTTCCTAATATGTTATATACTATTATACATTGTATAATGTTGTGAGAATTTTAATGGTGCTTGGAGATGGATAAATTTGTATGTTATACACTATTATACATGGAATAGTGTATTTGATCGTTTCAACTAAATTGGTTTATTCATTTTTATGTGAAGTGAAATATCATTTAGTTTTGTAAGAAAGCATATATATAGTTAGTTGATTTATACTGTTGGGATGATTCTATGAGAAGTTTCATGTAGCAATTCTATTATATATCACCAGTGATTGATTGATCAACTAATTGATCACATATTCTTTTCTTGTTTTCAAATCACACCAATTATGTGTTGAGGAATATAATATTTTTGTACAAAGACTCATAATCTCCATTACCATATATTTGAAATACAAACCAAACATACAAGCATGGTGCATGATGAACTAAATAGTACTTGCATCAGGGGAAGCATTATTACACAACATTGCGATAAACGCTACTTACATCACACAATACTATTACAACTTTCTCACAAATAGAGTTTGGGGAGAATAGAGTGTACGCAGACCTTACTATTATTTTGTGGCGGTATAAAGATTATTCCAAAAGTCCCTTGGCTTAAATACAACAAATTTAAGAAAACAATGCAGAAATCATAGCAACTAAACAATGCAAAGCCTCCAAAAGGAACAAAAAAACAAAATACTATGACAATCGAAACATTGTAAACAACAAATAATGATAGATATCAGAAGCAAGGACTCTAATAATAAAGTTAGTGCAATGATAAACACTAATAAACCTAAACCCTCGAAAATAAAAAACAACCCTTCACTATCCACTAATCTTCTACCTTAATTAATAGGTGACCTTCATACCCTCCTATCTAAGTTCATGTCTTCGATAAATTGAAAATGAAATCTGAAATTACACATTTAAACTGATTTCTATGGAGTTATTGGTCCCCAAAAACTCAATAAACAAGAAGGGGGGGAGATAAAATTTACAGGGAAACATTAATAAGCACCATAGGATAATTATTTTTCCATTGGCTAAGAGCTCAAAGTTTAGTTGATGCAGATATATTTCCTGACATCTAATGCACATGTGAAATTTGGTTTATGATGTTTTGTGCCCATTCAGGGGTGACGTTCCCAACAAGATTTTCTCCATATCCAGGGCTCGAACCCGAGATCTCTGATTAAGGGTGAAGTACTTTCACCAGTGCACCACAACCCATGTTGGTGGTTTATGATGTTTGAGAATGTTAATTGTTGTGTTTTTGTCTCTTATGCATGTGGGAATAGCTTGGGACTTAGATGTCACGCCTCAAGTTAGGGATGCAACTGGTATTTGTTGTCATATTTGATCCTAAGTCGACCTTTACTCGATAACTATAGTACTATTAGTGTAATATCAACTACAAAATAAAAATAAAAACAAATAAGTATATATCTTGATTTAAAAATAAGCGAAGTCCCAAAACTAGTAAGGGCACTCATGCCTCAACAAGTCACCTCAATACCACCGCCAAAGTTTGAATTTACTAAATTAATAAAAAAGGCTGGTGGTCGGCAAGACCCCTATTAATAGAACCTGCATGAGTAAACTAAGTGAATCACAACAATTATTAGAACATAAAGATTTAACTCGTTTGATACAGATTTAGAAGTACTTTTTGAAATCTTTTTTGGCAAATTTTTGTTTGGTCATAAAATTTACAGTATTTAGTTTTTGGGAGATTTTGAAAACCAAATCCTAGAATATGTTAAAAATCTATTTTTGGGCCAAAAAGTAGTTGTCGATTTCTTTTCAAATTTTGAAGTTACCCTTTATATATTTTATACAAAATCCCGTGATTCAAACTAATTCCTTATCAACCCTTTTAGGTCATTTGATATGAAATACATGGTAGTCGTGAAGTGGAAAAGATTATATTATATTAATTAAAGAATAGATAGTTATCATCATTGTTATTATTATTATTTTCGTACTAATTGTAATGGCTAGTAATTATGCCATTAGTAGTTTTTAGTCCAATATCGTGTTATGATTTTTGGATGATGTATTGTCTAGTTCATTATAAAAATGATAATTTTGTACCAAACTTATGGTTAGAAGACACGCTTCTTATTTTTCAAAAAAAAAAGAAAGTAAAATATGTTTTCAAAACTATGATCAAATACATTTTGAAACTTCAATACCAACTTCACCCAAATCTGATTTCTCAAAAATATTTGACAATTGAGAATATATATAGTAACTATGACAAATCCACCTTTCAATGAAAAGTTAATGTAACTTTGAGGGTCTCACACACTCATTTTTAAAGGTAACATAATATAACACTTTTGTTACAGTAATGTATGTTGTCAATACTAAAAGGTTCCTTTTGTGTTATATATATATATAGAAACAAAAATGGAGAAGGAAGAAATATAAATGGTCAAAATTATGTTGAGAAGAAGAGTGATTAGTGGCAATTTCAGCCTCCTTGTTTTGGTGATTAGTCCCATTGTGTATTTGTTGTATATACATCCTATAACAGTGTGTATCCCAGAGAATGATGTGGACATTTGTTGGCAAAGTTTAAAACTATTAGTTGCTTCATGCTGTTTGAACAGTATCAACAGCTGTTATTTTCAGGTAACCTGAAGCTGGCAAAGTTTAAAACTTATTGTTAATGCATTCTATGCATCTTTGTGGCATTTTAATTCTGACTATTATCTTTATTTCGGTGAAGCAGTTTCCTCTCAAGCAAGACCTTTATCTAACAGACCAAGCAAATGATGTTCACATGGGATGCAGTTGTATAACTTCATGTGAATTAGCTAGTCATCAAAGTTATAATGTGCTCTTTGTTGGCAGTCATAATCTCACAATTTCTGTACAAGCAAAGGATCTGATTGATGGATTAGGTTACTTGAAGGAAGTGGGAAGGACAGAGGAAGAGACTCTTTACTTTATTGAACAAATCTGCACTTGTTGGTGCTCTGATAAATTTGTAGAACTGTGACATTCAAGTAAGTAATATTGTGATGAGGGTGCTCAGAACCAAGGCCGCTTTCAATATTTTTGAGAGCCTGAGATGTTAAGACTATGCTGATGAGATTTTCCTGATTGTCTCCAGAGCATGATGCTTCATCGTGTTGTAAGCTGACAAGCATTTACAGGGAGAATGTGCTTAATTAATGATGATTATATAAGGGTTCTACCTCATTCTCCTGGATCTCAGAGAAAGCGGATGCTTAATATTGAAGTGTCAATTAATGGCAGGGTAATACCTATCAAGAGAACCAAGGAGTTGGTCCAAGTGGTGGAAGCCTTCTAGGTGCTTAATCCTCTATGCTCAAATTTCAAATCCTACTGGAGCCATATTCATTATTCAAGCTTGTGTTGGCCCTGGGCTACGAACCTTGTGAGGTGATTAATGCTCTGTAGTTGTGCCTTGAATGATTTCAATGGGGTTATTGGTCCCCTAAAACCCAAAAGACAAGGGAAAAAGAAATTTACAGGGAAGCAATAAACATAGGATAATTACTTTTCCATTGGCTAACCCCTCAAAATTTAGTTAATGCGAATCTCCAGGAACATTTCGGGTTTCTATGAAATGTCGTGCGAGGATATTGAATGTCTTCTGGTGCATTTTCTGCTATATGTTCCCTGACATCTAATGCATGTGGAATTGGTTAATGGTGTTTGAGAATGTTACTTGCTGTTTTTTTGTCTCTCTTATGGAGGAACAACCTGGGACCTGGAAGATCCACATCCAATCACGTCGTACAGTGAGAAGAGATAGATCAACCTCAAGGGGTTGGGGTCTGAAGGCATGCCACAGTTGCAGGAGCTTTCCTGGCAGTCAAATTTGAAAATATAGAGCTCACCCAGAATGGTTGTTATCATTGCTCAGAAGACCTCATTGGAAGTTACTGTTACTGTGCTATGCGAGAACTAGAGAAAGGTTGTCATTTGGTTAATGATCGATCCTGCAGAGGAGACATGAAAATTGTATTGGAAAGGTGCATGGATAAAAATTCTGGCACTTTGAATCTGCTTGTGGTGTTTGTATCGGAAAGGTGCATGGATAAAATTTCTGGCACATTGAATCTGCTTGGTGCTCGAGGGAGACAATCAAAGGAGTTTTGATGGTAAGGCGAATCTAGATTATTGAAGTCTATTATATAGCAGTGGTACTTCATGCGGGTGTTCGATTGCTTGTATTGTAACCCGAACTGAGACAACTGACCACTTATTCTTTTCTATTTCAAATTACACCAATTCACTCTACATAGTCCCTTGATTCTGTGTTGAGGAATATTGCAAGAAAGACTCTTAAATCTATTTGAAAACAAGATGTCATAATCTCCATTACCACATATATTCATCAACCATATTTGAAATACAAGCCAAACATTTTCATCCACACATGCAAACAACGTGCATGATGAACTGTGATTAACACAGTTAAACAGTACTTGCAACATGGCATGCATTATTACACAAAACATTGCAGTAAACGGTATTTACATCAGGGAGATACATTTTCAGATGAAGCATTGGGACTATTGCAACAAAGGAGCAGGTAATGATTGAACGTTCTTCATGTTAGTTTTCAGCCACTTGAAGAACTGCGTTTTGAGAAGGAAACAGGGCAATTTGATCGTCCAAAGTGAAATGGCAAATAGGCTTGTCTCCAGGCTTAACGTTGAGCAACTGAAAAGGCAATGCCTTAGGGTTCATGGATGCAGTATCCTCATGGCAGACTGATACTGCATTAACTTTTGTTCCATCAGCACCCACCATAGACACCATAAATGTCCTAGTGCTTCCTACATCATGGCAAAAGTGTACTGCATATGGGTAAGCTACTTTGTGACATACAACACCTTTGCCATTTGCTTTCTCTTCCACTTTTTCGATGGTATATGCTTGCACCTCTGGAGTTTCCTTCTCTACTTCAGTGGACATTGCTATAATATTGTTTGTTCCCAGGTGAGATAAGGTGAAATCAATCATAGATTCCAAAGAAGTGGCACAATGTTTTACCTCTCCGTTACCCGCAGGCTCTTCACACGTTTTGATTGTTTTCTTGATGTCTTTAGCACGTTCTGAGTCCTTATCAACAGAGAAGTGATTAAGAATTTCCTCAATTTTGTCCGATGAGAAAGCGATGGAATCTACAACTTTGCGTGGCAAAATGGGTGCTGGATTGTAGTTTTTGAGAGACTGAAGATTCATTTTTTTCCCTTGATGTAAATCTGTTTCAAAGAAGTATGGCGTCACTGGGTGATTGTCATTAAGATCTTTCTTAGCAGCATCATTTTACCATCCAAACACTCCATATGGTTGACGTACTTTGTGAAGCTCATTCTCGGAGGCAGCCTGATACCATCCAAACACTCCAAATGGTTGGCGTACTTTGTGAAGCTCGTTCTCGGAGGCATCATTGTACCATCTACCCACTCCAAATGGTTGGCGTACTTTCTGAAGCTCGTTCTCTGCCAACAAAAGTATTCGAAAACAAAAGACCTTAGTATTAATTAGATCTTTTTTTCCTTATGGAACAACATTACAGGCAAGCAATATGCCTTCAAATGGTGCGTATTTTAAACAAACGATTGAAAAGCTCTTAGATTTATTTACTTTTCAATTAGGTGCTTCATCTTCCCTCTATTTTACTGCAATCAATACATCCCTTTCATACTACCTCAACTTTTTGTACTTTTGATTTTTAATGAATTGGAAGAACATGAGAAAATTTTGTTTTTATTTTTTTGTTTGTATGTCAAAAGATTAGGGCTGTCAATCGTTCGGTTCAACTAGTTATTTTAGTGTTTATACCTTTTTTTTGATTGGTCTATTTTTATAACCAAAGTGGGACTTTCAATACCATTCAATCACCCCGATTTTTCTTTAGTATCAGTATGATTAAGTTAATTTTTAATATATATTTTTATATGTCATTAAAATTCACAACTAAAAGTTCGAAAATGAAATCATTGGTACTTGCATATAACTTTGGTAAAATTTCGCTAAATTTCTATAGAGATTTATCCCACTATTCTACAATGTGAAAAACAAATTAAGTAAATAAGAGAAATTTAAATCATATAAACAAGTGGAAAGCTATTAATCAAGATGAGACTCATAGAGAAATCTAAATCATACGATAGGGTAAATTTATTAAATACAACCCGATATATATTTTTAAATTTATTTTTATAAAGTTTAAACATATCCTAATTATTTGGTAGAATATGGATTTATTTGGTAGACTATGCACGCGACCAAAATGCATACCTCATTTAACAACAAATACTACAAGAGAAAAAAAATGAATTTAACTATGAACTTCATTATTCATCCATCGTCAAAATTTTCGGAGCTAAGAACTCTTTTTAATAACTCGTTATTAATTTGTCGCTAAATAGAAATAGCTATCATTTTCATGTTTGTTTAGTAATAAAATAACTTAATATATAAAAGGAAAAAGGATAAAAAATGCCCTTAAACTTTGTGAAAGGAACAAAATTTCATCCGTTTATAGTTTCGCTAAAAAATGCCGTTGCCATCAATACTTTGGTTAAAAAATGTCTTGCGGTCAATACTTTGGTCCAGAAATGCCCCTATAATTACTAAATTGGTCAAAAATACCATTTTCCAAATACATATATTTTTTTTCTTTTTAAACACATCTCAGTCCTAATTAAAATATTATTAAAGAACCATGTTCTTGTTTTCTTTCTTTTAAAATCACTTTAACAAAGGAAAATGTAAGAAATATTTTTTTTCTTCTTAATCTCATTTTATCAATTAAAATAGAATACCTTCATGTACCCTTTCGACGGATAATATATGTCATATATATAAGATCATAGTATATCCATCATTTATTTATATTTATATAACGATAAAAAATAATTATAATAAAATTAGAAATATTTTCATTGTTTATTTTATTTTCTGAATTGAAGTAAGATAAACATTTGCTAATTT